TATTTTGTCTCTATGCAGTTAAAGCAGTACGATTACTTTAAAAAAAGTTCAGATATATCTAAATATGTCAAAATAAAGGAAACATTTTTTTTTCAAAAAAAAATTTTTTTTAATAAATATTTTTTTTTACATTTTTTTTAAATTTTTTTTTTTTTTTAAAGTAATTTTTTGTCCAATTTATAGTTTCTCAAATATTTTATTTTTTCGAAGTAAAATTTTTTCTAAAATGTTAATCGTTTTTAAAAAATAATAATTTTGGTACGGAAAGTTTCAGCAATTTGCCTTAATTGCCTTAAGACAGAATTCCACTTACAGCTAGTTCTAATATGTTGCAGGCCACAATATGGAAAAAATGTATTGCACACCAAGAACAGCAGATGAGACAATGAGCTCGATTAAGCAACGAAAGAACAACAAACGCATCTCCAAATTCTGGCGCAGCGTAGAACGCCAAAATCGAGACATCTTCACCTGTTTGTGCAAACCGACCGACGATGCGCAAATTGACCAGTCCATTGAATCCGCGGATTTTATTTAATGATTAATTTATGCATTTTGAAATGAAATATAATTGAACAATACATTGTACAATGTTTTTTGTTGATTATTGTAAGTTTATTGTAATTATTGTTGGTCATATTAAATTTTGGTGTTAGAATATTGTGTTAAAATATGTAATATAAAACGATAAATAAACAATCGTATTCCAAAAATTTCAAGAGTATTACACTTTCTTTTATTACGTACGGACTACCAACCGCGACCAATTTCTATGTAATGTACATACCCACAATTCGATTTTTTCCATGATTAATGCTGCAGTTTAGTATAAGTATGTACTTAATGTAATCTAAGATAATATGTATATACATACATAAGGGAGTTTCAATTTGCATCGTGCCCTAATGCAAATTGCTGGAACTTCACGCAACGTAATTAAAAATTCGAGTAATAAAAATAATCAATAATTGTTTCAAATAATTGCAAATAGATTATCTTCTATATATTATATATAAAAATAAGTCGAGTTTTCCTTCCTGATCAAATTTTTCCTTTTCAAATATAAAACAAACAAAAAATTTCTTCATTTTTCTCACGAAACCATCTGGTGGCGAAACGGAGTTCATCGGGTTTGCTAGAATTTAATAAATATACAACATTATTCTTCATCCATTTGATTATCCAGATTTTCGATTATCTGAATGACTATCAACACTAATTAGTCCGGTTAATCGAGGTTCTACTGTAACTACAAACAAAGTAGTGCATGGCATAGTGCCTTCAGGGAAATAGCTGGTACTTCCGTACCAAAAAATAAAATTATTAGAACAGATTCAATCTTTTTAGATTATCGATTTTTGAGATTTTCAAATTTTATATTTTTGAGATTTTTAAAAGAGTGAATTTTTTTTTTTTATAATTTGAAATATTTTTTAAATTTTGAACTTTTTTTACATACGCATCGTAGTATTACAGATAAACATTGGTACGAAACCCATAGAAATGTTAACAAAATTTGTTTTTATCATTAAAATATCTATAAAACATATGATAATTTGATGTGCGTATGTCTAATTATCATATTTATCCGCCAAATGGCATTTTTTCACTTTTTTATTGGATTTCCAAAACAAACCAAATGGTAGAACTGCCTTTCCAAAAATTTGCTACAGTTCTTCCAAATAAATCGTTTTTTGAATCATTCAAATCTGACGCTCGGTTCTCTCAAAAATTGAATTACCGTTTTGGCACTTTTTGCCCTGTATCTTCGAAACGGCTGAACTTACCTTTGCCAAAAACTAATCAGCATGTCTCCTTATCAATGGAAATCGAATGATTTTTGAATCATACATATTGGTTACATACACACACATACATCATTTTTTCTAAGATATGCCAAAATGTTAAGAAACCTTCGAAACGTAAAGATATATAAAAAAAATATTTTGGATTTTTTTTGCAATTACTCCAACTTACGCTAAGTCAATTATCAAAAAAATAATATATCATTTTCTTTAGACTGGAAGCAGGGGAGACTAGGCACGATTGTGCCACTTGTTTTTTTGATCAGCCATAATTTTTTAATTTACCAGTTAGCTGAGGTTAAATTGAAATACTGAAATACTGACCTTAAATATGACGGATTAGTAATAAAATCAAATCATACAAGAAAACAGCAAGTGTCATAACCGTTTTCAAAATAAAGAAAACAGGAAAACTTAATAAACTATAGTACTACAAGGGTATAATATTTCCGCTTATCACATATTTTTTGTATTTGCAGCGTAATTATATACGTAACCCTTTCATAATTCACTACCGCAATATTATCACAATAATGAAAAAATTATAATAAATATTTTAGATAAGAATTATCGTTTGTTTTAATTTTCATAAATAGAAAGAAACAAAAAATTGCGCACATTTAGTTTACGAGAAGATATTGCTATGTTATAATTAAAACAGCAAAGGTTCCACTCGAATACAGAATGAAACTCCTAGTATTGTGCTTAAATTTGGCAATTTTATGTATAGTTTGTGGTAAGTGAGTATAAAAATATATAATTTTATTAATCAAATCATGATTTTCATCATTTCAACAATATTTATAAGTACAACTATACTTTTACTAGCGAATGTTTTTTAATATTTTAATGAAGTGACCGTTCAGAAATGAACAAAAAAAGATTATTGGATCATGGTCTTAAAAAATATTAAGCAAATAATAAAAAGAACTTAATATTTACTCTGATCTGAATAATCTATACATATATTTATATTTTATATTTGATTGTAGAATCGGATGAACTTAAGCCAGAGTCTTCAGGCACCGATCTTATAAGCGAAAATAGATTCGATGTTGAACCCAAATCGATTTCTAGACAAAATGATCCAGGCTTGATAGGAAAGAATCACATTTCATCAATACCAGAAATCATGAAAGAAACAAATCTATAGCCAAAGCAAAGGCTTTGTTGATTAAGAAAGTCAAAATCCACAAGCATAGAAAAGGTGGTAGAAAATCATCAAATCAACTAAAACAGAATGGTGAAACAAAGGGTAAAACTTGTATAATTACTATTTAGATTAATTTAATACGCAGTTAAAATATTCATTTAAAAATTTCCAGTTAACTTTACGTAGGTAAACATATGAGCAGTTATGCAGACCTTCAACAAACGTAATTACAGTAATTGTGGTATATAAATATGATAATATCTTTTGTTTTCTGAATTTTTTAAATTTTAAATTTGTTTGGTTGGTATATTATCATCTACGTTAAGTTATAATTACTTTCAATTTTCAAATCTATGAAATGAATTAGCATTATTATCAAGTTATTATTACCAATTATAATAATGAATTGGGAAAGTGATACAAAACTTCCTAGAGAAATATACAGTGATATTGCATTTATAGTTTTAATTACATTTTTACAAATCTCGCTATATATTTATATATATAAATTAATAATTTAATTTATATCACGTGATGAGTGCTCAAAAAATAAAAAGTTGAAGTACGTGAAAAAATACAATTTTTCTTATTATTTTTTTAACAATCCATATCAACTTTTAGTTCCTTAACCTTCAGCGTGTTCTTTACTACTTCTTTTACTAATCATTAATCATCCCAATTTAAAAACTTTCCAATATTTCTGCGTCTTATACTGTTTAATACTACGTTTAATATAGTTAAAATTATTGTTTTGCAAGTCATCATAATTTATAATATGATTACAAATAATTTTCACCTTTACATACCTTTTGTTTTTTCACTTATTATTGGAATTTCGAGTTTTTACTATTTACCACACTATGGGTATTTATAAGATACAAGAACACCTTTATCAATTTGTCGGTATAAATAATTCTTAATATAACCTCAATCATTTTTATAATATTTTTTTTTCAATTTATTTCAATTTAAAAAGATATATTTCAATATATATATAATGGTTACAACATAATAATGGATTGGTATATAATTCTACCCTTGGGTATTATACTTTCATATTTACAATTTTAGATCAGTACAAATATTGTTCTTTAAATATTACTTATATACATTTGAAATTTCTTATTTATATAATTTTTTTATCCCTACAGCGAATATAGTAGAAGAAATGTGTTGCTGTCAAAGAACTGTAGGAAAACCAGCAAGCTCTAAAAGGCCAACAAAAAAGAACCACAAACGAATCTACAATTTCAAGAGCGCCGTAAGACACCAAAAACGAGACGTCAATACATGTTGGTGCCGCCAAATAGATGACAATGATGGTGGTGTAATAGACAAACCAAATACAGATTCGACAACCACAACCAGTTCAAGTTCGACTACAAATACACCAACTACCACAGCAGTTCCTGATTTTGGTACAAAACCTATAACACCTTCGGATGCACCAACTACACCAATACCAGATGAATCCGAAGAAGATGAGGATGATGAAGATGAAGACGATGAAGATTTTTTTGATGAAGATGAAGATGATGATAGTGACGAATTTGATGATGATTTTTTTGATGATTAATATTCGCTTTTAAATTATAAGGATTAACGTTAAATCATATATATCTAAATATAACTGTTATATATAGCAGTTTTTTCGCACAACACTGCAACATTGTTGTTAGTTATATTTTATTTCTAGTTCATTTTTTTAGAAAAATATATAATTTTTTTTGACAAATATGACTGTTGAAGTATTTTATATATTGTATGTGGTTTTTATGTTTCTTAAAGAATTTGCGTGTTCTTTTCTCTATGGACGAGTCAAAATGGAATACCAAACATATGGAAGCATATTAAAAAAAGTTTTAGAAACATAATTTAATAATTAAGAACAATAATTTTTCCCTTACAATTTCCGGATGAAGTTTTTTACGAAGCTTGTGAAAAATTATTATCTTATATAAATTTTTCAAATTGTAAAAAGTATATAGATGAAGATAGAAACGCATGTTACCAGGAATCCATTCAAACGATGGAAAGAAAAACTAAATTTTGTTTCTAAATAAATTTAATAGACTTTTATACGTTTTGGGCCGATTGACTCTTAGAAAAAAAATTATATATATTATATATATATAATATATATATATATATATATTAGAGCGGGTCGATTTGTATGGGTCAAAAAAAGTCGCATAAGCACATATGATTTTCGGATACTAGAAATCAAAAAAAGATACTTTGCTAAAGAAATCATTCCTCTAAAATGAATTCTGATATCGCGTGCATTGACCTAAAAATAAGGGTTAAAATTTGAAAAATTCCATTTTAACCCATTCAGAATGCGTCCCCCAATCGCGTCCAAATGTATGACTAAACCCCACTAAACTTTGGAAGGCCGATCCACCCATGCCCAAGGTTCACTACCTGAAACTGTCTCTGAGAGGTTTTTCAAAATTTAACCCTTATCTTTGGATCAATGCACGAGACATCAGAATTCGTTTTAGAGGTATGGTTTCTTGAGAAAAGTATTTTATTTTGATTCTAGAATCCGAAAGTCATATGTGCCTAAGTGACCTTTAAATCGACCCGCCCTATATATTATTTTTATGCATACATATCTATTATATCAAGGTATAATTGGTAGTTTACTTACCTCAAAAACATGATTTCTAAATGATGCATACAGAATGTCTTCTGATCTTAAACGTGACATATACCTCACTCCAGCCAAATGACAAAGGCAACAATTGTCGTCTGTAACCATATTTGGTTTCGATCTGTAAATAATATACATTTGATTAAATCAATAATAATAATAATAATAATATAATCAAATTTATGAACCAGATTAAAAAAAAATTCAACAAATATCCTTTGTCCAACAAAAATATGTCTATTGACTAATAATAGCAATTAGAATGATCACAAAGTTATCATTTGATTCTAATATATGTATTAATTGTGATAATTTTAGTCCCATCACGAGATAAAAATATTATATACATAGTGAAGAGTTAGGATTTAAACTTCTCTATTTTTAGGGTTGCGATAACTCATATATTATATATATATCTATATAACCTATTTATTATTTATAATTATTTTTTTACCTGAAACAAGCACAGCATGTAGCTTTTCGCATAAGTCGATATAGGCCAGTACAGCAATGAGTGTACATGACGAATGGCCAACCGTAAGTGGCCATTGAAAACCTCATAAAATGTTTGGCCATGTGCATGTTCATCCAAGAAGGACAGGTTGAAAATATTCGAAGCATATCTGCAAATTCAAGATGTGGTAAGTTATAACTTGTTCTATGATAAAAATCTACACGACTGTTTACTAAAAATAAATAAACAATTTTCGTAGGTGTGTTATTACATTATATTTTTCATATATGTACCGGTGGTATATTGTGGTTCTTCTTCAGCCAACATTTGCAATCGCCTTCTTTCACGTGTGTCTCTTTTTTGCCTCACTCGCAGGAGTACGCAACCGGCCAAAACATCAGAAGGCACCAAATCGGTACCTCGAAACAACGTACTGAGCAAAGCTAGAAAATACATAAAAAAATAATATATTATTATTTAAATTAAACTTATTATTTAGATTAAATAAACAATAAATCATAACAATCATAACAAATAATCATATGATATTTGAAAAACTTTTAAAATTTTTTACTTTTAGCATAATGATCACCTATGCTTTATAGGTATACGTTTATATGTATTTAAGTGTGCATCTTTGTATGTATGTATATAATTAAATACATTAAATCACAATATAAGCTTTATATAAAAATACTAATAAAATTTGAAAGATAATGTAAAAATTTATTTTTGTTATAAGATTGCTGTGTTTCCTATACCAGAATATGTCATAATGATATACAGTATGTATGAATTATATTGAGTAAAAATATAAAAAATAAGCATAACAATAATGATTATTTGCAACAAGTTGTCCATATATCTTTGCTAAAGTCAAAGAATTTTCACGACCTTAAAAAACTATAACCAGCAAATATTTGATTTCTGTAAACATAAATCTCTAAACCTAGTACTTTTATAACAATTTTGGCCTATTTTAAATTAATCTACGCTTTAGATTTATTTTTTCTAAACATTTTTTTTTATTTATCCCAACAATGACTTATGCAAATTATTTCAAGTCACGATTTCAATATAGTTATTGACCGTGTCATCATAGAGCAAAAACGAAAAATATTTAGATGGAATTTTAGTTCATGTTCAAAACATGTTTTTATTCTCAAGACATGCAATGGTTATTTGCATTTATTAAGACATATATACACATTTATATAGGATATATACATTTTGGTCAGAAAAAAATACAAATTCGAATGTATTTGATTGATCGACATAGATAATACATGATGTATTGATAACATGTATTATCAAGGCAATTCTCTATTTTTCTAATTATTGATTGTCCTTTGTTAGTTTGTTATATTTGTAATATTATAATTTAGCTGAATCAATCATAGTTATAAGAGTTTCTATACTGATAATTCATGGTAAATTTATAACACACTTAAGATACTATATTTTGCAATTAACAATTCAATATAAAACTTTTATAGATACATATATTACTCAGGTGTGATTGATAAAAATACCAAAGTGCCAATAGGCTAATAATCGCCATAGGCATTATAAAGTATTGACCATTAGCTGTTGGAATATTCTAGCTTGAAAAATCATAATCCATAATAATAACTCCATAAATGTCTCACTAAACGTTTTAATACTTAACTAGTTACGTAAGAGGGCTTCCAATAATCATGTGATATTTCTAGATGAAGATGGGGGTTGGAATGGGAGGGTGGTGCATGGTATACACCATTTTCCCCATGGTGGTGGTACGTGCATTTACTTTTTACCTGATTTTTTTTAATAGTCCAAACATTTTCAAAAAAATCAAAAATTTTATTTACAATTTTGTCTCGAAACGAAAAATACATGCAATGTTTGGTGGGGGAGAGGGGGTAATTTTGAATATTACCACAAATCACCAAGGCAAAGGTGGGGGGGCGGAAATCTTTAAAAAATAAATCACGAGATTAATGGACGCCCCCTAACATTTATATACCTAATATATTAATAAACAGCTAATAATCCCATCTTCATAATAATTTTCCATTTCCTTACCAGCGATTTGCTGAAAAGCTTCATTTCCAAGTTCATCGCTCCGCATGCAGCAGCACGCCCAGCGAAACCTCTTCAACCAGAGCGCCGTCAGCTTTCGGTGCATGTTCGACTGCGAAGGCGTAGCAGTGGAACCAGGAGAACCCTGCACACAACAACTGGCTGATGTGGAACCCAGAGGATCGAACACCATTGCGAGGCCGAAAACCGTGAGTGCGAAAAGCACCCAGTTGAATAATACAATCGCTGGGGGGAAAAATAAATTTTTATTTATATGTTCATAAAATTTATAAATGTGAAATTGAATATCTCTTTCAAATCTTGAAAATGGTTCAAACAGAATGTTTATATAATAATAAATTATATTATTTGAATCAGGACTTGATTTTAACATTGAATATATGTCACAGGTATTGCATATATATATTCTATACTATCTTTTTTATTTATATCCTTTCTATTTTAATGTTCTTCTAACTGATTTCTTCTTTCTTCTTTTTTTGGTTTCTAAATCTGATCTTAAATTCTTATTAGTCCAGTAATTTAAGCTTAAATTAGGTAAGAATCTCGAAATTCGAAAGACCCAGCTGTAAGTCTGTATATTCTCGGTAAATACACCCTAAAAGTTGTCTCAAAACCTACATTACGTACACCCTACCATATGTAGGTTTTAAGACAACTTTTAGGGCGTATTTACAGACTTACAGCTGGGTATATTGAATTCCGAGGTGAACTTACTATAATGACTATATATTGTTTTTTTTTGTTATTTTAATACTTTTAATTTTTCATTCAAATTCAACTCGACCTAATTCTGATTTCCTCCAATTCTGATCTTTTCTTACTTTCTTCTTATTTCTAAGTTTATTCCTATTCGATTCAATAATTTTAATTATGTTTAATTTCAAATTAACTAATCAACAATCCCATTTCTATTGAACTTTTTATATTTTTTATGTAATTGCCAAGAATCGATCCAAGGACGAATCAATTGATAAAATAATTAACCAAGTATCATTAAAAGCTTTGATTCCTCGAAAGCCTCTTTTGGACAACTCATTTTATTTGATATAATTTTTGTATTGAACCATATTGAATATTGATGTCCAACAATATTACAAGTTAAATCGTGTTAAATGTTCATCTAGTACTAGTAAATGTGCATCGATGATCATCAATATAATAATAGTCGTTATATCGATATAATTGCTATTGATAGTTACAATAATTAATTGGGTTTGAACAAAGAATAATATCATCAGCTTTGGGCTCTGATAAAATAATATCATATTCAAGTTTTACTTTATTGACATTTTTTATTTTTTTTAAATTTTTATATATTTTTTATTTGTTGGATAGGTTGAATTACAGTATTTTATTAAGATATATGGGTTTATTATCCAAGGGTGTTATACTAACTAATAAATATTGTTAAACATTTTATCCTAATATTCAGACTATATGGAATTATTTTCAGAATTAATAATATTTTTCCCATACATTATAATATATGGGAAAAAAAGAAAAAACTATAATTATTACTTAAGAACTTAACATATATGTAAAACTATAAGCAAATGCTATAGGCGCCGAGTATAATAAACATTGCATAAATAATTAAAATTTAATTTTAGTGATTGATCTGTTGTATAAGAAAGTATTTGAATTATCCAAATATGGAACTCGGCAATAAATGTGATGAAAAATATGTATATTGTATATTTGTTATATACAAATAAATAAAAACATATAAAAAATTAAATACTGGTAATATAAAATTGTTGTAGCAGAAATATTACTGAAGTACAGTAAATCCCCGTTAAAACGATTATCTAGAGACCGGACCAAAAACGCATCTTATACTAGAATTTGTATAGAGACAATATATTTTAAGGTGGCGCAAAGTGGCGTATTATGAAGAATAAGAATAAGAAGGTACATAAAACTACGCTAATTGCATTATATCAAAATATTGATCAAAATCTTGAAATCCTCTCATATACAATTAAATTTATTCCAATCGATCAATTACCATGCACTGATTTACGTGCATCTTAGAATCCATCGATAAGACAGTTTAAATATTTAATTAGAAATAAATTTCTAAATTGGCCTATTAACCAAAGATTCGTAGAAAGGCGTGTGTGTGATAGATCCATCTTATTACTGGAACATTTGTCAATAAAATGCTGTCCGATGCATGTCGCAACACAAAAAAGTTTTTAATGTCAACACAAATGCAACGCGGCAGCAAAAAGTTGCAACTCGTAGCGCGAGCGTTACGACATTCGCGTTATTCACGTTTCGTGTAGTTGCCGCGAACACGGTCATTGGCACTGCGAGGAACTGGGATTGTGTATGTTTATTTTCTAATGATTAATCGAAATTGGATATCGATGCAATCATGCAAATGTTTTTGGTCAATGGACACACGAGCTCCAACCAACACTTTCTGGAAGTTCAAACTCGTGCCCAAAACATATTTGGGACGTAGAAATTGATAACAAGGTGATATTGATATATTTGGGATAATCGTAATCGATAGAGTTGAGTTGAATGGAAATTTATACTTGGGCTAAACTCAAACCAGAATTATTGATCTTTTAGATTCGAATAAAATATAGATATAGGAGGCAGCAACGTTTTCAAAACAAGAACTTTAGCCAAAATAATTTTTTGGTATGTCGTCCTGGGTGCTCTTTTGATTAGATGGTCTTTGGGCCATCTGGCAACAGAAAGTCGTTGCGTTTATTAGTGCTCAGTCAACTTGTATAGTGAGATTTCAAAATTTTGAAAGCATTTTAGTCAGTCCAATTGTCATTTTTTTGATTTTGAATAGGTTCACAAGACTCACATTTTTTGTTGCCAGACATTTTTGGCGCTGCTATAAATAAGTGCCAGGCGCCAATATTTTTTTTTAATTAAAATATATATTATTTGAACATCAGAACGTAAGGATCCTATAACTTGTTGTGATAATTTGACTAAACGATGACTTAACCAATACATTTTTGTGAAAGACCAACTAATTGTCTTATCTTCTTACAATTCTTTACAGTCCTTACAATTTCTGTAACACCAATTTTTTATGGATGCAGCAATGCCAGGCAAGGGCTGTTTTTGCATTGAATTAGATTACTATCTATATTTCCAAGTGAAAATCACTCTTGCACTAATGCTTGATATCAAGCTGCTGAGATAATTATATGTAGAATCTGAGAACTTTGATTAAAGTCCAAGAGATATAACCACTAATCCACAAGCAAACCCAATATAATAATAATAGAGACTTACAGTCTCTACTACAATTAATTTCTATAATACCAATCAATTTTTTTATTGATGCATCAACGCCGGGCAAGGGCTATTTTTATATAGAATCATATTGTTATCTATATTTAGAAGTGAAAATCACTATGTCAATACTGCTTGACATCAGGTTGATGAGATATAAGTCGATTCTGAGACCTTTGACTAAAATCCAATAGCTCTAATATAATAATAATAGAGATACACAAACTCAACTACAAATTTATGCACGACTAATTAATTTCACCTTTAAATTTCAGTAATACCGATTAATTTTTTTATTGATGCAGCAATGCCGGGCAAGGGCTATTTTCATGTGGAATCATATTGGTATCTATATTTCCAAGTGAAAATTACTATGTCACTACTGCTTGATATCAAGCTGTTGAGATAGGTATAGATTCTGAGAAATTTGCTTAAAAACCAATAGTTCTAACGGGTGATATAGACTCTATTACAAATTCATACACGACTATTTGATTTCACCTTTTAAATTTTTGCAAAACCATTTTTTTTATTGATGAAGCAATGCCAAACAAGGGCTATTTTTATGTGGAATCATATTGCCATCTAAATTTTCAAGTAAAAATCACTATGGAATTACTGCTTTAAATAAAATCCAATAGATCTAACTACTATTCTATGAGCAATCTTTTATTATATAATAGATAATAGAGACATTCAGACCCAATAGGGTCCCTCAATAGAGGGCAATTAATTTCACCATTTACATTTTTAACATAATTTTGTGTGCATTCTAGCTATTATTGAACATTGGTTTATTATAATCATAACTTTTTTTTTTTTCTGATTATCGTCAGTAAAAAATTAGAACCGGAAGATTAGAAAATTTATACAGTTCGTTTAAATACTGCACACACGCCGAAAAATATGATGACTGGATAGTTTTTAAACAATGAAATAGAAATTTGATGTCAAATGTCATGTTAACAATTACGCAATCCATTTTTATGAATAACAAGTTTAAAAAATCACAAGTGTTTATGATGATGACCTTCGCAATCCTGGGAAGTCTAATTATAAGGTTACCTAGTATTTTCATAATATCCTTTACAAAACGGCTGTGAACTGCATAAAATAGTTCATTTAAATTGACTTCATAAATAGGAGCTAATCTTTTCTAATAATATTAATTCCAAAACGCCTGAATGCAATTAGAATGTAGTGTGATCTAATAAAAAATGGCCTTGCTTGGTAGCTCTTATTAAGGAACTTACATCACATAAGATCGAGTTCTTTGAACTACTTTTTCCGGCATGTAACTGGTACCTACACATATGTATAATAGTTGGAAAATTCATATCCTGAAAATAACCAGATTTTCCAATAAGATTTCTATTAATTTACTAATATTGATTAGTTATAAGTAGAATCGTAGTTGCCGCCATATCTGTTGTATCAGATACACATCTTGGGTAGCAATTATAGGCAAAAATTATAAAAATCTAATTTTTTTGGTATTTCACAAATAGTCAAATTTTTTCTAATGTTTTGCAAGCGTGAGTTTAAAAGAAACTTTACAAAAACTTACACTTAATAAATTATTATTTACTCAAACTCCCAATCAAATTTTCATACGAAGTTCAGCTACTCTACCCTTGCGATTATATCCTTGCCATAATAATTGTTGTGTTATATTACACTTATAATATAGAAACACAATAATTGGTTAAAAAATATAAATATGTATAATATAAAAATCTAAGTTTATAAAAATTTTCTTCTATTCAACAATACTCTATTACCATTACTCTATTATCTCATCTGTTTCCCTTCAAATTTGCCTCGCCCAACATAAATATTATGCGAAAACAAATTGTATTCGACGCAATAAGGCATCAGTTTCGCAACTTAAAGGTATTTGAAATTAAATATACATATGCAAGTTTTATAATAATTATCTGGTAGCGTACAAGGTGAGGTGAATGTGCACAGAACGCGTTAATATTGAAATTCCACGATATTGCTCCTAGGTTAGGCAACTAACGAAACGTTAATTTCTATGGTATTCAGGACGAAACTGGTATGGGACAATTTGTAATAGATTCAGTAGTAGCCAATTAAAGTATTTTACTCATGCATTTTTGCAAAATTCCTTAAAAAGTGAGGAAATGAGTGATACAGCACCTGCAAGATGACTAAATTTGATCTAAGTGCAATATACGTTCCAAGATCATTAAAAAAAGTTAAGAATAAAAATTTGATATAAAATTATAGAAGCAATGTGTATTTTTCTATCAAAAAGTCGGATTCATTTGAATTGATTGATAAAATACTCCAAAATAGCTACTTGAGTTGCTCATCTTCTTCAGTTCTCATATCAGCAAAATAACCAAATATATAGGTACATATAAATTTTAATAATTTCATCATTTTTAAAGTTTCCAATGAAAGTGTTTTACGGATATATTCTTGTAAAATTTCTGGAAAATTAAGGATATCATTGATACACCATCTTCAAAACGACTAAACATGATCTACAGCTGCAATATGCATTTTAGGATATATTTTGTGGATATAAGTGATAATTTCTTAAAAATAAGGTTTGGAAATCCAATATAAGATTTTGATTATGGAATAATAAAATCTTTAAATAGAAGAAATGTGATAATTTCTATCAGGAAATTAGTTTTATTGATATTCGGAAATAGATTCTTCAAGTGTCAATTCATAAATCAGTAGAATAGCCAAAAATATCTGTAGATCCTCATCTTAATGTGAAATGTTTTATATTAGTATTTCATAATTGCAGTTTTTAATTAAATTCATATACTCCTATAAAAATTCCTAAAATTTGAGAATATCAGTGATGTAATTTTTTATCATAAAATTAGTATTATTTAAAATAATTGATATTTGGAAATAACTTCTTTACATGCGATTTACCAATCAGCAAAACAGCCGAAAATCTATCTATAAATTCTAACAATCTCGTTGTAAAATATTTTATAGTAGAATTTATAGTTGTATAAAATAGTTCTCTAAGATCCCATCGCAAAGCATGAAATTATATTATATTTTAGTACAAATTAGCAACTAATTTATAACTATGTATTTATACTAAAAACGATATAACGTGACTAAATGACCACCCGGTTAATGGCCTTAATAAATAAAATAATTATGAAGTGAAGGTTTGATAATAAATTGCAACCAAGAGAAATTGAAATTTAAATTTGTTGTTTTGAAATAATATATTTATTTATTTCAAAAATGTAAAAAATGAAAAAAGTAAAAGTAAGTTTAGCGCGAAAGTATTTATATCAAATTAAATTCTTTCCGAACCAGTTCCCAAAATTAATATCGGTCAGTTTTCTAATTCGAACGACGCGGATGACCCAGAAAAACAATCGACACTCTGCAAAACAAACCGAATAAATAAATGATTACGAACCAATCAATAAATATTACCTTCTATGACTGTTCGAGAAAATAGCTCGGTGTTAGGACATACTATGACATCACTGAAAGCCCAGAGCGTTCCCAAGATATTCAGCCCCAACTCTGGTAAGTGCAGAAATATCCTGTAATAAATTTACAATCAATTTTTTTCAAGCAAAATTTTTTTTTGTTTATAGGGATAGGTGTAAATATTTCCACTTTTTAAATGCGTAATAAAGACAAAAGTTGCTGTAAATTGTAAATAGAATAATTCAGATACTTGCTGTTTCATGATTGTTTTTATGACCTCGGTCGAAGGCCTTGCAGGAAAATTAAAAATAAATTTAGCTATTTGTTACGGGGATATCTGCTTTCAATCAATGTTATTTATAAATCAGTTTTTATTTCAATGGCGAGTTAAATATTTTACTAGAATTTTTCCTCAATTATTTGATAAAAATATTTTATATTTGATTAGAATAACATATTGATTTATAAATAAGCTTCAAAAATATTTTAATTGGGAATGAAGAAAAGTAAAAGTTTCATAATCAGAACTGAACGCTAAATTAAAATTTAATTTCATGATGTATATTATAGCAACTAACCAATACATTTTGAAAAAAAGCATTCGAAATACTTGATAAATAGTTAAAAATAATGCAAAATTAATATATAGATAATATAATATGATATAGATGAAATATAAAGACTTAAATCCCTTACTTATCTCAGTTAATGTAGTATATTGTAATCGCATAATTAAGATTTCAAGTACCTATTTCAGCTTTTATAAATAACTATTAATTCTGTGAACAAAAATTAAGAACGATGACAAATTCAATATAAGAATAAATGTTTGATTTTAAAATATTTATAACTTGTATTACTATAAACTCAGTATTACTATATAATTGTACTATTAATTATAAGTAAGTATTAGTTATATAATTGTAAGATTTAAATAATAGATTGTAATGTATTAGTAATGAAGTGAATGACTAATTTGTATACAAGATACCGAATAAATTCATTTTAAAAAATTGAAAAAAACTAAATTTGCAAATGAGTTTTGTAAAACAAAATTTAAAGCCTTCATCGCATTTACGGTCAAAATATAAACATCAATTTTAAATTAATCTTTATGCGTTCTACACCTATATAATCTTATCATTAATTATATTTTCGCCTCTCTCAAACACTTTTGAAATGAGCATTCAAAATTCAGATAAACAGCCAAAAAATCTACGAAATTGATATGTAGTTTAAATATAAAGATCAAAATTCCTTTCTTAGTATTATTTTATTATAATATGAGTAACTATTTAATGCCGGATACCAAATATTAAAAGTATACAAGGAAGGAGAAATTCAAATAAACACTGTATGTGCAATTCTTAAATATATATTATATAACAACTAATCATTACGATTTGATATGAGTATCCAGAATCAAAGTAATAGTTTAAGATACTATTAAGTCGATTTATAATCAAAACTATAAAATAGAAAATTCCTACATATGTAATACATATATTGTAATAGTATGTAATCAAGCTTGCAAACGCAGATATTTCAGTTTATTTGGGAAACTATTCCATTATTAGCGGAATTGAAATATTAAGAGTATAGAAGAAGTTACATACTATAAACAAAAAATAAATATTCAATGTTAAAGTATATATAAAGCATTTATTCCTTATAACTTGCAATAAGCATTGATTGATTAAATGATAGGAACAATTGGTAAATAATCAAAAATAATGTAAAATGATTGTAAAGTGAAAATAAGGACTAAAATCCCTCACTTAATATTTAATTAAGATACACAATACTTTAATTAAGATTTTTTTATTTCCCAAGATTAAATTATTATCTGTCTTTAATACAAAAACCATTCAGTAATAATTATGATCAGTAATAATTATCATCAGCGGTCTACATTTTTTGTTGATTGAGGACATATTTGTGAACTAAATACAAAAGGAACTGATAATTAAAAGTGATAGCTAATACAGAAAACGAAATTGAACAGGAAACAAAAAAATCCAAATTTATAATAATTAGAGTAAATTAGTAATTAAGAAAAAAATACGAAATAGTAATAAATTTTATTAAGATTGCAAGCATATAAATCAGCTTAGATGGGTACCTATTTAATGATATCCTTAATTAGTTTTAAAAAAAGCATACAAGAATAAGTGCCAAATTCGAAGCAGAATTATTTATTAGTTTTCTATTAGTTTTTAAAGAAAATCTTTACTACTATTCTTTCTATCCAAACTTACTTAACCGCCAGCAAAGGCGCCACATGCCTCCTGGCTCTAGTGTCGGTTATGGTGCCCTGGGCGCTGCGGTTGATCAGCGCTAGCAGCAGGACGGCTCCAGCCGAGAGCACCGCTATCGTGCCGGCCATGTACGCCCGCACCGGAGTTCCGCCGTCGCAGCCCAGCGTGGAATCCCAATACCGCACCAGGGCGAGAGACATTAAGACAAGCCTGAAATAATAAAAATCAGAAATTATAAAATATTCATTTAAAAGCATAGCTCTGTACGGATCAGAGAAATGGACTCTAAGGAAAGCCGACAAGAACTATCTGGGGAGTTTTGAAATGTGGTGTTGGAGAAGAAGGGAGAAAATGAAGCGGACTGACCAGATAACAAAGGAAGAAGTTTTGAGAAGAGTGGACGAAAAAAGGACGGTAGGGTAGGGCGAGGCTAGTTGAGCAAATTTTTACTTAAACGGATGTAGCTCCTCAATGAAAAGTATCAATAAATTGCTATACGGTTTAATGGATTTGTTGTTTATCGCTTAACAAAAGTGTTAATACTATTTTTTGGTAATAAGTTAAATTTAAAAGCTACAGCTGTTTAAATTCAAAAAGTCAAGTATGCTCAATGTACCCCATAGGTGGGGCAAGTTGAGCACTAAGAAAGTATAATAAAATCATAAGTTCAATGTCGATTAGGGATGAAATAAAATAAGTTTTCAATAACCAGTTCTATATTTATAGTCTTTATTGACACAGAAAACAAAACTTATAGTAATTTGCTTTGAATAATTAACGAAAAGTAGAATCAACAAAACAATATCGTATCTTAGGAATAAAAAAAAACGTGAGAATTATACCCAGAATCTCTGTGCATATCAAAAGTACTATGCAGAATATGGAAGAATAACATTTACCTGATTAAAAATAAATAACATTTGACTAAACCAGACGAAAACTCGTGATGAACTACTTTTTTACTTTTTAATTTAAAAATAAACAAAACGCCCGTGAGCCTCACTCATTTGTCCAGCGGCCACTAGCGATTACGGGATGTTTATTTGTCCCAAACCTCTATCTTTCCGGCATATAATGCCTAAACGGACGGTGAATAGTTTTCGAGATATTTCGATTGCTCAACTTGCCCCTATGTTCAACTAGCCCCGCTCTACCCTACAGAACATGATCATTAAAAGAAAAGGAAACTGGAACGAACCCATTTTGCAAAAAGAGTGCCTTCTATAAGACGTCGTCGAAGGCAAAATAGAAGTACTGAAAGAATTGAGAAAAAGAAGAATGACTTACGCAGGAAGAGCCGAAGAACAAGACTAGGAAGATGTTTGGAAAGGAAATTTCATAAAAACGAATATAAAGTGATTATTGGTCATTCATTATTGGTAATAAAACGGAAAAAATCATTAATTTTCTGATGCTCTCATACCATGGACCTACCTTAGGGCAGACTACTATTTAGTATTATTATTATTCATATAAAAGTTGCAACAAGTACATATTGAATACTGGCTAGGGCTACTATATTATTCCAAAATTGATTTTCTACAAAAGTTAATCTTTTGGAGTACTTTTATTAATTTTTTTTAGTAACAAGTACATTGTTTTGTAACTCTAAATATAGCTTCCTATTGTATAATCAAGTATTTAAAATAATCATTACAAAAATGAAGTAATTAATTATGTAAGACTTGTTGGAACAAAAAATTGACATAGAAAGTGTAGATAAAAAATTAAAAATTGCGAGGTGAGATGGCTGTTAATAGTCAAATACAAATGCGAAACAAATTAATGTCTTGTATTTATGCTTAAAGTATAGGTAAACCATATTCTACTTAAATATATTTGAATGTAAATTTTACACGAAAACCAAAAACAAAAATTTATTAAATTTAAGAAATTTAGTCACTTTTTTCACATCTCTATAAAATGAAAATGGTTAACAAAATAAAAAATTGAAGAAAGAAATTAAAGCTTTTGAAATAAGAATGTAAAAAATAAATAACTCAAAAATACAAATTATGAAAAGAGATATATAAATTACTTTTTCTTACCTTACCTTATTAAAAAAATATCAATGTATATGAAGTTATTTATCATGGCTTATTGTTAGATCAGCGTAAACTGAGTATTATTATTAATTGTGCTAATTGTACTATTAATCATAAGTATAAGTATTATACATTATGTAATAATCTGTTTATAGTATATAAAATTGTAGGAATTATATTATGAAATGGAATATTATAGTCATCAAGTAAATGCCGAATTTGTAAACAGGATGTCAAATAAATTCATTTAAAAACATAAAAAACAAAATTCTCAAATGAATTTTGTAAAACGCAGAAATTCAGAGCCTTCATTGCATTTATTCATGTTTATGCGTTTTCCACCTATATAATCATACCGTTAATTATATCTTCGCCTCTCTCAAACACTTTTAAAATAAATATGTTGAACACATTTAGAAACAATAAACATAATGATCTGTTTATAGATTCTCAGTCTATATTTGAATCCTAAAACATTCCACAAATAACGTATTGTTTGAGATATTTATAGACGAGACATAGTAAACACTCATAATCTGAATTTTTGGCAAAACAAAAACCGGCAATTTGCTTTGAGATATTTAATCTGAGAGAAAAACAAATTGGGTCACGTAAGCCTTTCTCTATTAGTCATTATTGTTTTTTTTGCTATTTGTAAATATTGATTTTAGAATATAATTATTTTAAGAAAAATCGTGAATGCTATTTAACGGATTGCAATTGATTCTTTGATTTATGTGAACAATTCAGCAAAACAACAAAACCTTTTGCTTGGGTTCAACTTTTTGGTCTTACTTAATTTGAAAATATTTTATGAACTTGAGCTTTCTGATTATGTAATACGACCGAGTATAAAATGAGGTTTTATTATTTCGTGGAAGTGATGACTATTATTTTTAATTTTGCTACTTTATACAACACAAAACTCGTAATACAAACAAGTTCTACATTTTAATTGTGAGCACTCTAAACTGTTTTATTATATGTACTTAAATATACCAATTCGCATCTTTATTATAGCTTTTTCTATGAATCGATTGGTCATTTTATCTAATCTGTGGTTATTTACAATCATGTATAGTTCTTTTTTAATTTAAGCAATAACTTATTAATTAGTGACGCATTTTACACATCACATTTATTTCTAAAGAATGCATGTGATTAATGAAAAAAATAACGTTTGAAACAATGCATATATAAACAAATTCATAGAACGGAATTATTATTTTCCTGAAGTTGTGTTTATATGATCACTGAGAGAATGAATAATTTTGTTTGCAAATACAATTTAACTTGAAAATAATTTTTATTACTAAAATCAAATTATTTGCAACAAATAACAATTATTCGTAAAAACAAAGCCCATATAAAAACTAGCATAAACAAATATCGTAATAGCAAAAATAACAAAGTTTGTGGAATCATCAGTTTTTTATAATTTTTATTACACAATATTTTTACTGAGAAGGACAAGTAAAACTATCTGAGAAGGACAAGTAAGACTACAGGAATAAAAATAAAACCTCTAAAAGTACAAAAATACATCATCTGACCCTTGACACTAATAATAATATATAAGGTAGAGTTGGGCTTTAAGATCTGCGGTTAAAATGGTCCACCACAAATTTCTCAAGGAAATTTGCATTTTTTTTAACTACAATATTTTAAAGTAGAGGGAAAAAGATGTTATGAAAATTCATAACAAAAGTATTCTCTTTTTCTGTTAGTTTTTTAGTTTGTGAGCACTATTGTTTAGTTTACGAGACCTTTAATATAAATTTTAAGTATTTGTTATTGTATTGTTGTATAAGATGCATTGTTAATTTTAAGTTAGATTCAACCGTGTTTTTTTAACCTCTATAAAAGCTTTCATGTGGGGGAATGGGGGGTACAAAGAACCAACTAAACCTTTACCCTCGCAAAAGTGTAAACAATACAAAATAGCAAACAAAAAGTGAATTAAGTTAAAAAAGCTATTTTACAAGATATAAATTAAATAAATACTTATGCCAACTCTGATGATAAATATTTGTGACAAAACCAGATCAATGTTATTTACAGTGTTATCTCTGTAGAAAAATGCTCCCATGAAATTAATATTTTGCATTGGTTAAATGATGTAAATATTATTTCGTAAAATCCCTTTAAAATTAAAAATACAAATAGGACCTGTTTGCCACCCAGCCCTCCCATTTTACCCCGCCTATGGGTGAGAACGACCAGATGTCAATGTTTTGAAAAATTGCAAAAAAAAAAATTTACGATGGTGAATTAGTTGGAAGTTTTACTGAATAGAGTCAGATAGTTGTTTGTTTGATGTGTGTTATTTGTTGTGATATAACTCTTTTAGTTTTCCCAATATAATTGCTCAAAGTCAAGTAAGGTAAAAAAATTCCCTTCCAACTAATTTTACAATATTGTTGACGAAAAAAAATGTATGGTGCGCTATATAATTATACACAATGTAATAAAATAACATTGTAAAGTTGATTGATAAAATGTATATGGCTAATGTACTCGTATACGAAGTCAAAAATTAACAATAAAGAAAAAAGTTTAATTAAACTTTTGTGCCCCGTTGCCCTACCCTATATATTTTATATTAACCTATTATATGGATGGATGTCTGCTAATAAATTTTATATATATATATATATATATATATATATAATAGCAAACCCGACGAACTCCGTTTCGCCACCAGATGGTTTCGTGAGAAAGATGAAGAAATTATTGTTTGTTTTATATTTCAAAAGGAAAAAAATGATTTTATTACACAACAGTAATGAATTCATTTCGATTACAAAAATGAAGTGTTTTTAGTTGAACTTCTCTAAGTAAATGAAAGTGAATCCGCGAATTATCAGTTTCATTGAAGTGCTCTTTGGTAAACCACATTTTTTATTTTTTGGTCTGACGTTAACACAAACAAAGCGGATGGTTTCTCAACTCGTGAACAGGCAACGTATAACTGCCCATGTGAAAAACAATGATTTTCTGAATCTATTTGAAATTTATCCCGCAAACACTAAGCGATTGGCCTTGCGACTTGTTATTGCGAAAGCAAGGCGAACTGGAAATTGCAATTGTTTGAAGTCAAACGGAAAACCAGTCGGAATCATTGGTATGTCACCAAATCGCCAGCAATTTTTGATTGAATGGTGAAATTCAGTGCGTGTACATCATTATTCTTTGCGGCAAGAATTGCTCGTTGACTTAACCAAGCATAATTCTGATAATTCTCACTAATGTCATTACTCAAATTTTTAATTACGGTGCGTGAAGTTCCAGCAATTTGCATTAAGGCACGATGCCATGCACCACTAAGCTATAAACCTTGCGGAGCCCGAGACCTTTCGAATGAATGCAAAATTGTCGAAATCGGTTCGCGCGTTCTGCAGTTATATCGTCAGGAAGGAAAACCCGACTTATTTTTATATATATGTAGACAGTGGTGTTGTGCTAATATTTTTTTTGCCGGAACGCTATAATTTAAAATCCGGTTCAAAAAATTTGATATATTTCGATAAGAACTCACAAATCTAATATATTGACTTCTTATATAATTAACTCTATTATATACAGCTAGTCTATACATTAAATTGTACAAGTATGAGGGAATCATTGAGTACATAATTTATTATCTTTAATAACATTAATTATATTTATTGTGATATTATTTGTATTCATTAATACTTACAGGTATTTATTATGATATAAAAGTACTCAAGATTTATTACAATACTTCATAAGACTTAACCTAATAATACGATAGATAACCTATTACCTATCTTACTATACTATATTATTGTATGTAGGTAGATATCTATTATCAATCATACCGTGAGATACCTATACCGTCATTAACTTATTAAATATCTATATACTTTTTACTTCTTATAAATATTACTGTCTAATTTATATATTTACCTATATTATATAGGTTTACCTTACACCCTATGTATTATCTCTACCTATCTATTGTCTATACCGGGAATTGAACCCGGGACTTCCGCGTGGCGGTCGCGCACCTTAACCACTACCCTATCGGGTACCCCCATTAATAATATAATATGGGACGCACTGTTGTTTCCGCTGGTCATTTTCTAATTAATTAGGTAATTAATACTAAGGTGACGCAACGACACGCGAAAAAAGACGGTTGATTGTAGCGTTACGGTGGTGTAGTGGCTAAGGTTGTCGCGTGCCACGCGGCGGACCCGGGTTCGATTCTCGGTAGGGTTAATGTAGCGTGTAAGGAAAATTATAGGTAATAGGATATATAGTAGATATAGGTTAGGTGTATTCGGTATACAATGTAGGGATTTGAGAGTATATGATGAAATATAGCGTATGGTATAGATGTAAGGCGTGTAGTATAGAATGCAACGTACAGGCATACGTAAGGCTATAAAAATACACGAATAGGAACCTATGATGTAGGTGTTAGCGTATAAAAAATGCGAATGAATATAAGATTTAATTTATAAATATTATTTTTTCTATAAGAATTTTTATCTCGGTATTAAGTATCTAAAATATCCAAATTATCCGTTAAGGCATCGATTACACCTTACTGCTGCCTTTGCCGTTATCACTTCATAGAAAATTAATTACTGCACTTTTAAACGATTGTGTGCACTGTGCGACAATAGACATAGAACTATAAATTTTATTAAATGTTTGAGTAACTTGTGCGAGTTGATTTTCTTAAGATGTTCTTCGTCTCGCAACTTACTGAATTCTAAAAATTCTAAATTTAAAAATATAATATAAAAATTATTATACCGCTGTCTGGAAAGGATGGCAATTTATAAATATACAGACTAATACATACAGAATTTGGAATTTTTCTATAATCCGTAATATTGAGAAAGTTTGCATTAGACCTAAAAAGGGATGCTTATTTACCTAAGCTATGGAAATATATATGGAAAAACTATATGATTTGCACATGCATCCTGTGCTCACTTAAACTAAACAATGATCATAATATATTTAACGAATTTTTAACAGTATTTCCAAATTACATGACGTTCCGGCGCGTTCCGGCGCGTTCCGGCGCGTTCCGGCTCGACGACACCACTGTATGTAGATATATATGTATGTATAAATAAATCATATAAATGAATGCTTACCATATTATCCTGAGGAGAAGTTCGAATAAACAGGGAAAGACCAAGTCATCCGAGGCGGCGAGCCACTTCCGGCCAAATAGGCGCAGCGCAGGCATGCCGCCTGAAAGAGACGACGGCAAATATTTAATTAAAATTAACTAAATTATTAACTAAATACACAATTTATCAGGATGTACAAAAAAATGTTATCTCCTAAATAAATACTAGAGACATAGTGATTCTTTTGTTTTTCAAGCGATTACAATTATTATACAACTTATTATACAAATTATTATAATTACAATTATACTATAGATATCAAAAGGTTTTATATTATCAGAATATAAGAAAAAAGATATTGCACCTGAAAGAGTATTAAATAAAATATTTTTTTTTTACTTAAGATCGAAAGAATTTTTGACCAATTGTAAGTATTTCTTGCTTAGTAGAAGTAAAGTTTAAGAAAAATTTCAGAAAGGAAAAATGAGTCTCACAAAACAGTTATCCATAAAATACTACAAAAGTAGATAATTTTTAATAAGTATAAAATATATTTATTTTTTAACTAGTATAGTTTAGTACTATAAGTTATGAAAGTAGATTATATTATAACTATTTGTATTGTATTATTTGTGTACATTGTATTTGTATTGTAAATTATTGTAAATAAATTATTTGTATACTTAGTGTAAAAATGATTTATTTCAGATGCCATTATAATAAATAAATAAAAAAAAATATTTTCAGAATATTCTTTGACTTTTTACTTAGAATGACTAGATATTTTAGAAATTAAAAGCATTATAATCTACCTAAAACCAATTACCAAATACCAATTATATTTACTGTACAAATTCCACCTACAATAGTAGTTGTACATATATGAATAGTACAAATACTATTCATACATGAACAACTGAAGAATATGCAATTAAATTTTTTATATCTCTTTTAATAATAGCAATAAATGCAAATTATTACATTGAAATTTTCATTAGTAATAATCCATAACTGCTTGAATTTAATAAAATCCTACCTCAAATTGAATTGGATCTGCAATAAGAGCTTTAATATGAGATTTTGATAATCATAAATTACAATAAATGTAGGGAGTTAATGACGAAATATTTTTGGGCATCCATGCAATAAAAAAAAATTGAAGAAGAATGTCTTTATTAGAATAGCATACGTTTCGACTTTTGGTTTGGCTCATCTTCAGCGCTACATTGAAAATATTACAAGATAATTATTATTTACTAAATAATAACATGTTTATTTATTTATTTATTAGTTTGTGATTTATTTTTATATTTTTTTCAATGTAGCACTGAAGAGGAGTCAAATCAAAGCTCCAAACGTATTCTATACTAATAAAAAGACATTCTTCTTCATTGATTTTTTATTGTTATTGGATGGATGCCTCGAAACATCTGGTCGTATGTTTTTCAACGTCTTGAAAAGCTTCACACTTTATATATAATTGATTTTTTTTATTAAATATTAAAATAAAAAATGATTATTACTATACAATCATATAAATAGCATCAATCAAGATAATAAAGCAAACTGATAATAATAATTGATAAAGTTCTACTATTCATTAGAAAGCATTAATATATGAAATAAAAATTACATTATTATAATGATATAATTTAAATAATTACTGTGACTAAATTAAGTAAAAGAATGATGATATTATTACTAAAATTAAAATAAATTTATATAGATTTTACTTGCAACAAAAATCAATCATTATAGAAGCAGAAACCTATATAAAAGCTTATATAAATAAAGATATGTAATTTAGCAAATATAGCAAATATTTAATTTAGCAAATATAACAATAATAATAAGACAGAACTTGTAAGTATACTAAAATTTTGCTTATATTAAAATTCATGTTTTTACAGTTTTTTTGCAGGTATTTCATAAATTAAAAAAAAATTACAATGAGAGCATAACAGTTACTTCTATACATAAAAAATCTAACTAATAGTGTATTGCACTGCACAATCATCTTCCTGATTTGCAAAACCAATTTATTAAATTATGGGCAATCTATTATAAAAGTGTCATTTTAATTTATTTAATTTAGATAATTACTGTAATTAAATAAAATAAACTAAACGTGCAACGTAATCAGGTATATTTATTTTTCCGCTTCAATTGCTGATATAAACATATAATTTTATAATCGCTTTCGTCTTCTTGAATTAAATATTACATACAACTTTTCAATGTCTAGGTTTTTTACTGACATGCTATTATATAAAATAAATTCTATAATTCAAATAAAATATTCCGTAATAACGTTCATCGTAACTATTGCATTTGAATTGTTGCTCCATCAGCGTTACTGAAACTTCATGACTCATCAGAATATAAGTTAATTATGCAAATCAAATATCATTTATTGACTATCTTTTCTATTTATCGAAATAGTAATATTTGCTTAGTAAACATTTTTATACAATAACTTTATTGTTGTATTATTACCATTGTATACTTATTTTTAAGTTTGATTCTATGAATACATTGACTTTTATGATGACTGAATATAACAGAAGCAAAATGTAAAAACCATGCTACTGATTGTATTTGAAAGTGCATTCGTGTGCACTTAATGAGATACTCTTTCTAGAATATGTTTAAATATAAACATGGTGTAGAAATACAGCAATAGTGAGTCATATTTATACCTTCAAGGATGTTTTTATTATGTAACTTTATAACCAAAGTAATCAAAGCTTTTTAGAGCTTTTCACTGCAGCAAGTGATTTGTAATATTCCATTGTATTTACAAAGTATGCGAGTATGCGAGTGTTTGTATTTCTTTTTATCAAACTTTGCAAAATAATTCAGTAATTTTAAGAATAAATGTAAAATATCGATATAAAGTTAAGAAAAATTGGCCAAGAGTACGCGATTTTGATTTTAGATATAAATATGTAAAGTATTAATATTTATCATTTTCAGTATATGCCATTAGGTTTCTGATTATTATTGTACTTATTAATTTTCCGTAGGGTAAGTTATAGTAATGGGCCGAAATTTGAAAATGAAAATTTATGCATATCTTTACGTTTCAGAGGTTTATAAAAACTTTGGCGTACCTCAGAAAAAATGGATGTGTGTGTATGTGCGGAAACAATTTTTCGTCGACGATTTCGGGCGTATAGATCAACCGATTTGAATAATTCAAAAAACATTTGATTTCTATTGATAGGAAGATGTGCTGATTAGTTTTTGGCAAAGACAGGTCCAGTCATTACGAAGATACGGAGCAAAGAGTGCAGAAAATAGAAATCGAGTTTTTGAGAGAACGGAGTATCCGATTGAAATGATGCAAAAAACATTCAATTTGTAATGATTGGGAGAAGTGCTGATTAGTTTAGAGAGCTTAACGTACACAAAATGGCAGTTTTTAAGAGAACTAAGCATTCGATATGAATGATTCAAAAAACTTTCTGCTTGTGTTAACAAAACAATTGCTGTTCATTTAATAATTTTAATGATTTTCTGTTAAATTTTAATGACAATAAAATTAATTTAGTATTCATTAGGATTGTCAAATATGAAATGAGTAATAAAGTTCAAATAATAATTTTGCAGAAAATTTAAAACCCAAAATTATTTATTTCTTTGCATGAACATAAAAATGTGAATATCCCAAGATGTCCCAAAAAAGATCCCAAAATAACCCAAAAAAATCTTAGAATATCTCAAAATGTCGAAAATGTCTCAGAATGTCTAAAATGTGTCAAAATTTTTAATACGAGTTTTATAGCTTATGATGAAGTAAAACTCGCTGGTATTTCTTTCTTTTAATAAGTCAAAATCTACATGGAGGTCCATCATAATTTATTGTTGTATCTATAATTCAATGTTAATTATATATAAAAAAGACTTCTTTATATAAGGGTAGCTTATAGTAGGGTAACTTATAGTAATCGCACAATTCGGGCGCACGGATCAACCGATTGAATGATTCAAAAAGCATTCCATTCCTATTGACGAAAAGACAGACTAGTTTCTAGTAAAGGCAAGTCCAGCCTTTGATGATACAGAGCAACAAGTGGTAATTTAATTTTTGAGAGAACAGAGAAGCCGTTTATTATAACATATGAATAAGCTCAAAACTGATAACTAATAGTGTAAGGAAAATTATTGTGAATTCGTTCTATTTGTATGTGCATTTCGTGCATTTCGTGCATTTCGTTCTAAACTTTCTATGGCGTTCTCCTTCTTTCACATACAGCATTTTTTAATTCTTTCTCTACACACTCTGAGGTAGTTACATGTTTTAATATTCTGTATCATGCTCTATATATTTTGGACACAGTCTAGGAACCATGGTATGTCTAACAAAAAGTCGGCATTATATTTGTCTGCAAGAACTAAAGAAGAAGAACCATCGTGCAGTTGCATCGTAGTAATCTAATATAACATGACTTGAAGAAATACTGTTGCACGATCAAGTAAATCAAAGTAAGGTTTCACAAATATCGATGTGTGCAGTTTTCTTTTTCTCAAGCCATATAAAATAATAATACAAGCTTTGGCGTTTCTGGAAAATACTGATGGTCCCTCAGTTGTAATAGTGAAAGCAGCCAGATCTAATAACTATGTTATTTCTTACCAGAGCGCTAACTTACAACTTGATGCATTATATCACACTGTGAAATTGTGGGTTTTATAACGTAATACAGTTAATGAGCTAATACATTCGTTGTTTTACATTTTTTGTATGCGAAAATTCAGTATATTTGACAATATTATATAATATTAACCCTTTCCACTCGCAAATTCCGAGATTTATATTAATTTTGCCATCCAAGTCGAAAGGGTTAAAACCATTACTTTATAGAATTATGGACCTCAGGTTTCAGTACATAATTACCATATACATTTCAATGAACCTGATAATGATATCGATATCTTATCATGCTTATTTGATTTTAAGACTTTGTATTATTACTATTGAATTGAGTATATATAGCTATAGATATTTTGAATAAATATAAAACATTCAATAAATGCAGATATACTATTGATGGAAACACAACATCGATAGATGCACGAATAATCATCTATCGTATCTTAACAGGAAATTATGCATGT